ATTTTTTTCTCAGAGTAGGGCAAGTACCACATTTGATTGTTTGTTAGGATGAAGTCAAACAACACGCTCTAATTCATATTCCATTTATTGGAGGGGAATCTGGTGCTGAATTAATTGGAATATGTCATATTTATGTCATCCATATTTATTACAGTGCTCTGTTTTGCCTTTAACTGGGATGGTTTGTTTTTATATGAGGTTAGTAGATTTTCCTGAACAAACTCCCTAATTATTGGCGGAAAGAAGTGTTGCACTTGCTCATACAGAAAAACAACATTTAAAAAGAATAGTTCACCTAAAAAAATTAAATTCTGTACCCTCAATTTGTTCCAAACCTATATGACATTCTTTATTTTAATGCAACTTCAAAAAAAGATAGTTTGCAGAATGTTCACTCTGCTCTTTTCGTATAATGAAAGTGAATTGTGACAAGAACGATCAAGCTCCATAATTAGCAAACAGCACCATAAAAGTACCATAACAGTAGCTCAGTTGGCTGCTGTGATATAATCAGTGTCTTTTGAAGTCAAAAATCATTTGAATTATTATTTACTAATTACTCACAAATAAGCTCATCTCGCATATTCATAAATGAATTTCACTAGTGGAATTAAAGGGATAGTTCACACTAAAATGAAAATTACCCCATGATTTACTCAGCCTCAAGCCATCCTAAGTTTACATGACTTTCTTCTTTCAGACAAATACAATCAGCTATATTAAAAATATCCCGACTCTTCCAAGTTTTATAATGGCAGTGAATGGTGGTTGAGATTTTGAAGACAAAAAAGTGCATCCATCCATCATAAAAAGTTCTCCACACAGCTCTGGGCCGTTAATAAAGGCCTTCTAAAGCGAATTGATGCATTTTTGAAAGAATAATGTCCATATTTAAAACTTTATAAACCATAATCTGTAGCTTCCGCTAACTGTCCTGCACGTTCATGGGAGAGTGACGTTCCAGCGGATGACATAGGACGTGGGCAAACGCAGACGAACGTGGAAGTGCAGTGGAGAGAACCAAATAAAACACCGGTCACGAATTAAAAGTACAAAAAGAGGATTTCTAAAGAAAAATGTCAGAGGATTTTAATATAAGCCAAGAGGAGACTGGTTTTCCTTTGCTTGAAACAAGCAAGTTTGTTCTCACGAGATGAGCATATTCTCATCGCTACGCCTACGTCCTACGTCATCCGCTGGACACCACTCTCTCGTGAACGTGTACGACACTTAGCGGAAGCTATAGATTATGGTTTATAACGTTTTAAATATGGATAGTATTCTTACAAAAATGCATCGATTCTCTTCAGAAGCCTTTTATTAACCCCGCGGAGCAGTGTGGAGCACTTTTTATGATGGATCGATGCACTTTTTTGCTTTGCAACTTCAGGGATCTTATCTATGCACAATCAGCTTGTAACACTCCAAAGAGAAAGGAAAACTTGAAATCGCATCATATGACCCCTTTAAAATCTCGACCCCCATTAACTGCCATTATAAAGCTTGGAAGAGCCAGGACATTTTTTAATATAACTCTGATTGTTTTATAAATCATGTGTATATATAAATTATGTGGTAATTTTCATTTTCGGGTGAACCATCCCTTTAAGTATAGAAGGATTTTGAGTATGTATACTTTTAATTTTAGTATAATCCTCACACAAAGTTTTCAGGTTACTTGGAAAACAGCACACAAGTCGTATAGACTACTTTTATGTTATTTTTATGGTTCATTTTAGTCTTTTTGGTAGCTGCTGGTCACTATTCACTATTCTTTTATCATCTCCATTGGTGGTCTATGGAAGAAAAGAACATCATAAGATTTCAGAAATGAGAACATAACGGCTGAACTATTCCTTTAAAGCAAAAAGTACACTTTTATTGATTCACTCTTCTTTTTATTCTGTGCACCATTAGTCTAATTTCTGTCAATAGGCCGAGAGTGAAAAAGGCCTGTTTACTCCCAGGATGAGAAGACCTACATCTGAAGAGGACTGAGCCTGGAATGTATGTGTGTGTGTGTTTCTGTTGCATAAGGTCAGCTGGCACCAGTCCCTCCCTGCTGTCAGGATTGCTATATCCTCGCTGGCCATAAATATGCTTTTATTCATCCTCCCGTAGAGAAAGCAAGCGATCAGTAGGGAAATGGTGGGGGGGGGGGATTTGGCGTTGGCTCATCATATTAGCCTTTATAGCTGGAGGGATGGAAGAGTTTGAGAGAGTGAGGAATGCTCTTTTGGATATCTGCTTGAAAGTATTTGCACACAGATGGTGTGTGCTTTTGTGGCCGTTTGAACATTGCCCCCTTAAGAAAATTGCCCTCGGCCCTTCTAGCAGCCTGTGAATGTCGGATGAGTGTTTTTGTGTTAATATGTGCACCAGTTCACTCTGTATAAACTTCACGTCACCAGATAACACTGCATACAAATGCCACTTTGCCATCTAAAGCAGTGTTTGTATTCTCTTCTCTGCTTATCTGTTCCTCCTCACAAGAACTCACGCACACAAATGTTTATGTTTTTCACTCTATCACATCAGATCACGGACAAACTTCCCCTCCTCGCCTCATTAACTTCTGTCGCGCATGGTTTTCTACATGGATTCCCTCTTATCTTACCATGACCTGTCGAACGAGAGTTCGTTCTCTGTGAGATTACGTAATCCTGCCCGTGGGGTCTAATCCTGACGGGCTTTCTAAAGTCAGTTGTGTTGAAAATGTGCAAGAATCTGTTCCTTTGGGTTTCACGGCAAAGCCCCAAACATGGCTAAAGGGAAGGTGTCGATCGAGTTGTCAATAGCTAATCAAAACATTATTTTTTCATTCTGAAGGAAAAAAATGGTGTTTTGTTGGAATTAAGGGAGTTATCTGTAGCTTAATTGTCTGGCTGACATAATGAAAATGAATTATACTTTGAATGAGGCAAATGAGAAGAAACTGCACACATACTTCATTGATTTTCACAACATCCCTGACTTGCAGTGTAATCAGTTTCTTCAATATGTTTGGTAACACCACTTGCCATTGGAACTGAGAGGATTTGCTGTCGATAGCTATTTCGTACAGCACATGAAACTTTATATATTTAACAAATAAACACGCTGGAGAAGTCACAGAAACGCAACCACTTAAAACATGGACGATACAGGCGAACTGAGGAGAATTCAGGGCTTATGTACAAATTCGGATAATCAAAACTAATTAGCAGGAACACAGGCAAAGAGAATTATATACAGTGGGTACGGAAAGTATTCAGACCCCCTTAAATTTTTCACTCTTTGTTTTTTTCCTCATTAATGTACACACAGCACCCCATATTGACAGAAAAACACAGAATTGTTGACATTGTTGTCCTGGGCGAAAACCTTCTCCAGAGTGCTCAGGACCTCAGACTGGAACTAAGGTTTACCTTCCAACAAGACAATGACCCTAAGCACACAGCTAAAATAACGAAGGAGTGGCTTCACAACAACTCTGTGACTGTTCTTGAATGGCCCAGCCAGATCCCTGACTTAAACCCAATTGAGCATCTCTGGAGAGACCTAAAAATGGCTGTCCACCAACGTTTACCGTCCAACCTGACAGAACTGGAGAGGATTTGCAAGGAGGAATGGCAGAGGATCCCCAAATCCATGTGTGAAAAACTTGTTGCATCTTTCCCAAAAAGACTCATGGCTGTATTAGATCAAGAGGGTGCTTCTACTAAATACTGAGCATTTTTCAGTTTTTCTTTTTTAATAAATCTGCAAAGATGTCAACAATTCTGTGTTTTTCTGTCAATATGGGGTGCTGTGTGTACATTAATGAGGGAAAAAAAATTAACTTAAATGATTTTAGCAAATGGCTGCAATATAACAAAGAGTGAAAAATTTAAGGGGGTCTGAATACTTTCCGTACCCACTGTATATATTAAACATTTTGACTGTCTAATTATTTAGCTGTTTTTCCTTGTACATTAGTGATAAACCGTGCAGGTCATTGTATCACTTTCAGCATCGTAAACAAGCTGGTCTCCATCTGTTAGTGAAACTGCACTAAAATGTGAAGACATACTGTGCTTTTATTCCTGCTCATTTTGGATGTTGGATGTGATAATTCCACATATGTGTTGCCACATGGATCTCTGGAGAAAAAAAAAATGACTTTAGACATCCTAGAGGAGGAAGTTGTTAAAAGGCACATGTGTTTTCTTCAGCAGACAGTTTCATTTTAAGTATGTTAGTCTCTTACATAAGCAAGGGTTGACTTTCGTTCTTACAATGTGATTTAAACCACATCATTTTAAATAAAGTTACCAGCCAACTGACGAGTAACTTTATTTACTTTTGGTGCTTGGCAGGTGTTAATTTTGAACCTTGCTCACATCTTGCACAGTGCAGACACAATACACAGCCAAATTGGACTGAAGCATGGTCGTATTTTTGATTTAGAAGGGATAAAGTCCAGAAACTCCAGAATGTACCAATTCCTACCACTGCGGGGTTTTTTCTTTTTTATGGTGAGAAATAACCTTATTTTTTACTATACTCAAGTGATTCAATATGAGTATTCATTTTACATACCCAATCAGTTGATTATTCTCTGTCCAGAGGATTCTGCCTATCGTGAGTGTGTGTGTCCTTCAGTTTCCTCATTCAGCATCCGTGGGCTGTGGATGTACCCAGTAACTGTAGATCAAGATTGAACATATTTAATGCTTCAGCTGTCAGTGGAGACATATTCCTCTTTTTCTCTCTCTTAGATTTTCTTTTCCTCTGAGGAGAGAATGGCAGACTGAGAGGAAGTAACATTCTTAAAGACCTTAGCAACCCCTTGTATTCTTCACATGTTCAGTTTGTGTATCTGTGTGAAATTAAATAGGAGTGAATTTTTAAACTTCCTCATACAGAAATGTATACTTCTCTGTTTTTTCTTTTTTGTCATTGCTCAAAAATTGTATGAGATGAGACAAAAATACTCATATAGTTCTCTCTTTCTCTCTTTCTGTCTCCCAAATGTTCAGGTTTTCCAGGTGTCCTCTCCAGAAGTTCCTGCTCTTAGATGGTAACAGAGAGCTTGAGATAAGAGGTAAACTAAATTCCTGCATATGTGCATGTTATCGATTGTCTTGTTCTGAGGGTATTAGGGCTGGGCGATATGAGCAAAAATTCATATCTCAGGATTTCTTTGGCTGATTTGGGGCATACAGTATATATCTCGGTATTTTCTACGCTTTTGTATTTGGATTAAAAAAATCTGTATTTTATATATAATATAAATATATGTATTTAACATCCTGCCCAATGTTGTCCAACAAAACAATGCATTTAAAGGCAATGAACAACAAATAAAGTAAATGTAACCATGTAGGCATATATTATGTGCAAAAAAGGGTTAAAATCACATTACATTCTAACATTCTAACATTGCAATCTAAAAACAAAAATAATGCTTTTAAAGCAGAAGTTAAATTCACTAAACTAAAAATGAAAATAATAAAAAAGCACAGACTAATTGAGTAAAATGGCTGTTTTGATTACCCCATTACAGTCACTTTACAGTTAGTGCTATCATACAAATACACTTACTTGTACGTTTAAAATTCTACATATGTCACATTTATTGTCCAACTACAAATATTTTTTCTACAGACACATTAAACAGCGCGAGTAGCTTCTCTGTCAGTGGCACACACAGCTTTTTTGTCAGAGCATCTGACGGGGCAAGCTGCTTTAAACTATATGAAACTATAAACTATACTATATCTTACAAGTTTTTTTAAGCCCTTCATATAAAGCTTGTCACACATGTAGAACAAATTGAATTATGCACTTTCTCCTCAGCAGCTCAGTCTCCTCCACTATATTTTTCAGATGTGCTCGTATCAAACTACTGTAGGCTATATCGATATAAACGGTATTACCTCATATACCGCTCAGCCCTAGAGGGTATTACATTTGTGATGTGATTACTGTTACTGTTTTCATGATATATGTAGGCTATGTGTGACAGTGTGAGGATGTGATTCATTTTTAATTGCTATGTTATGGACTATCACATTTTATCTGTAATGTAATTATCAAGAACCTCAGAAACCATGAATTTTTTTTTCCATAAAATAATCTAAAAATGATTATGACACTAATAATTAAAGATTATATTAATTATCCATATTCATTTTTAAATATTCTTTAACATTTAATACATTCATATATAATGAGTGCATCCTTAATTTTTAAGTAGTTTCATAATTAAGATTTCTATATCTTATAGAAATATTTTGTGATATTCGTTTTGCTTGTAAATTGTGCTTTTAAATGAGCAAACTGAGATAGATGAGAACTAGAGAAGTTATCTACGCCCTTAATTGAAAATTCCATCAAATAAAAAATTCCAGTATAAATCTATAACATTTTAAATACAATACCATTTATTGCACATTATAACCAATAAGACAAATACTAGACAAAGCATAATTTAGTCATAAAAATATAGCCTCATTAAATCAGGACTGACAATGTGCACTCAGTAACCCCACGATGCACCAGAGTCAGGCATTGTCCTTATTTAAAGGCTTACAGCTGCGGGAATGAAACAATGCCTTTGTAATTTGTTTTATCGAGTGGTGGAATTATCTGCCTCCTCCCTGAAGGTGGAGGTTCAAGGTATTTGAGAAGTGTACTGTTTGTGTATTTTATTTTCTTAGCCTCCTCCACAGCAATGTGGTCAGAAAGGTCCTGAAGCTGCTGAGGAAGGCCACAGAGGTTCAAACACAGCCTTTCTATTTTTAAAATTATTTTTATCTATATATTTTTTATTTATATAATTTTTTTTTTTTTTTGCTTTTATTTATTTATTTACTTCTTTTTTTTTGCTAGATTAACTTTGAGCCTAGGCACCTGAAGTTTTTTGGACTTTTTAATTCCTAGATAGTTTTTGCTGTGGACATTGTTCATATTACAGATTTACAGATATTAAAATCTGTAAATCTATTTTTAAAGCATAATTTCCAGTGAAAAGCAATTTGTCTGTCCACGATGAAACTGTGATGTAACAGCCAATCAAAAAATATTTGAATTTTAATATATAGCTGTGTCACTTTCAACCAATGAGATTTCACTGTGGGCGGAGCTACCTAGTGTGACTCTAGAAACCAGCTAGGCTCAAAATGTTCTGAGCAATCTGACAGGTCTACCAGACCCATATCACCTGCAATTTAACAGCTCTTATCTGAATTCCTCATATTATGTGTACTTACAGACAATAGCACTGGGAGGATCTTAGTTCCTTGAGGAGCCCTAGTAGAAACAAACAAGCATGAGACGGTAGTGCTGTTGTTTTTAACATACTGCTCTCAGCAAGAGAGAAAGTCCAGAATTCACAGTGTGATGGAATCACAGCTTGATCTGTGGTTTAGTCACGAGAGAACAAGGCACTGTAGTTAAATACAGATGAGAAGTCTAGAAGAGTATCCTGGCTTCTTCAGATGTATTATGTATGACGTTCAGAGCTGCACAGACCTTCTTTGACCCTTATAGTCACAAAGCTCTAACTATCAAGAGAGGTCAGCTGACTTGAAGACTACATGTGTGGTCACATTCTGTGTGAGATCTGCTTAACGTCACACAATGATCAAAGATGTGTCTGCATGTTCACACAGACCCTCAATTAGAAACATTTTTGGGCTTTTCTCAGAAGAGATTGATGTATGAAATAATTGTAATTCTTTCAATTAATCTGCATATCTGCCTATGCTTGCTTTAGTTAAAAATAACAGTGTTCTGTGAATGTTGATGCTTTAATAACAAATATTTATCGGGAGCGTGTATGCTGAGATTTCATAAATTTCATGGAGAAAAAAGTAACGTATCTAGTAATGTAACTAAAGTAATCAGAACAGTAACATGATTACTTTTAAAAGGAGTAATCAGTAATTTAATTACATTTTCAGAGTAACTTGCCCAACACTGATCATGTTAAGGATTTCATGTTATTAATCTAATTAAACAATTTAATCAATTGGCATTGAGAAAAATACCTAAAAGGTTTACATGACCTGACTTAATTATTACATTCAATTGTATTTTAAATTGTATTTAATTTAACTAAATTAAATACATTTAAATAATTGAATGGATATGCACCACATTTTGGCTGATACCAATTAGCCGAAAGCAACTCCGATTAAATGAATAGCCATTAAACTCTACTTGTGTTCTAACTGGTTCGTTCAATTCAATGTTCCCAGCCAATCGGATTCGCATATTCATTAACGTTTTAACTATAACCAGGACATATTCAATGAGTAATATGTCTGCGCGCTATGTATGTCCTCATCTTAGCCCACCGCCTCCCCAGCACCACCTGCCTAGATCTGCTATGGGGGATCTTCCACTGACTACCAGCAGCAGCATATTTCCTTTTAATTTGATGATCTGAGCATTTAACAGAAGCAAGTCTACTTGCTCTGCAGCAGCCTAGCAGATATAGTCCACCAAGACCAAACCTATGCACAATCTATTTACATTAATAAAGATTTTACACTCTATATCCCGAGAGTTGTCATGACTGAACTCATTTTGCTGCAGTTGCTGCTGGTGTTGAGCACACCATCTCATGTCAATAAGCACTCTTAAGAGGAAAGCGCTTTTCGAAAGGGAGACCTCAAAAGGGTTAAATGATCTAAATGCTAAGAAATGTGAACACAATTAAACTTCTAATATCAGCAGCCAACAAATATCCAATAGGATTGATAGAGTGGTGAAGAGAGAAATGCAGGTCTAGTGTGAGGTGTGAGGAGGGAGAGGATGTGTTAATGGGTACAGAGAGCTGTCAGGGTCAAGAAGGCTTCATAAGTTCACACAGACAATTGACCTGATTTCAGCAACCGTCCAAATCACGTCACACATCAGTCTCCTTAATCCAACACATCAACCGGAATTGAGTGTTTGTCTTTGAGGTTAGTTGACTGGCAGTGAGTGGCTTTTGTGTCTGCGTTTTTATAAGTGTACTGTTCGTGTGTATGGTAAGCTGACTGGAAATCAGTGGTTTTTGTGTCTCTGTGTAGGTGTGCAGCTTTCAATACATGTATGTCTGTGCGGTTGCACTGCTTGGAAATACACACATGCTTACACGTATGCGTGCACACACACACAAAGAGTGGGACAGGAAGAGGCGGACTGCGAACTCTCTTCTTTTACAAGTTACTTCCGTTTTGAGAGAAAACTCATATGCTCATAGGTAGGGATGCAACGATTAGGCTATAGATTTTGTTGGTATTATTGTCTGAGGAATAATCACGGTTTCATGATTATTACGATTATTATGCATTTATTAGTTTCACAACATTACTGATGTATAAACTCACATGAACACTCTTTAGATATTAAAGTGTTATTTATTGCTGCTTTTTGAAACCGAAACAACACAGTAATCAATAATACAGCACAAAATGATAATAAAGACAAACAAAAGTTAACTGGAATTAGAAAAAGGTGACCTCTGCTCTGTAAACTTCCATGTCAGTATTTTCACACTGCTGTGTGTGTGCACTTTGGATGGGTTAAATGCAGAGCACTAATTCCAAGCAAGGGTCACCATACTTGGCCACATGTCACGTCACTTTCTGAAATGATATATTGCATCACCAAAAATTATTGAGTTCATGTACATATATTGCGCGATAAGTCGATATATTGATTATTGCGACAGGCCTAATGAGGAGGCAAAGTCCTCTTATATTATTTTTATTAAATGTCCAAGTCACATTTTCTTGGTTAAATAAACATTACCAATCACAGCCGAACATAACCAGTCATATCCAATCATATCGTGATGGAGACATTGCCTCCTCTCACGTGACTTTCCCCCATTCATTCTCAATTACCGCCCAGCAAACCCACCGCACGCTATGGGGGATCTGTTAAAACTCAATGGGCTCAGGGGAGGCGAAAGAGATGCGGACTCCCGCTGTAAATTTACCTGCTGGTGTTGCTGTCGGACAGTGTTTCTTTAGAGAAACGAGTGATTTATGCACTTTATAATGTTATACTTTGTAATATTGGCATTGTTTTATTGTTTTATTTTTGTACTACGAATGTTTTTTCTCATCCAATATTTTGAGAAGACACTGCCTCTCTTACCTCCTCGGAGGAAACACCCCCGATATATATAATAGTTTTTAATCATAGCAAATTAGATGTATACAAAATTGTTGAATTTAAAAGGTGAAGTGTGTAATATCTGTTCAACTTGATGGTGATATTCTCAAAATTGTCAAATATTGATTAATCACCCTGGCTAATATATTGGTCTTTCTGTAGTGCAAACTACATTTTCTTTCTCTCTGCTTCTCAGTTTTTGTTCCTCTCATCTTGCTTTATGAAGGTTTTCATAGCGAGTATGAGCATCTCAGCGTGTCTGTCTCTGTCTGAGGGGAGCACGAGATTAATTTCAACACAATCATTTCCTTCCTCTTCACGTTTTCTTCTGTTCTCTGGGAGTCTCTTCTTGCGCTCACACACATGCTATGCCAGCAAAGTGGCTGTGTTGACACAACAAATCAATTAAATGCGTACAAACACCTTTCTCTGAATCCATGAGGAGTGAAAAGATTGGACACAACATTAAAAACCCACAATGCATTGTATTGCAAAGGTTCCCTCCATCATCTATATTACGCAGGAGCTTTTCCCTCAAATTATGCTATCTGAAGACAAATCAAACACGCTCCTGTAACAGTGATTATGCACCGTGTTAGTGTCAGGACCTAGTGCTCACTGCCTAGTCTTCAGCATGCTGAACTTTATGTGGGAGATTAGATTTTCATGACAATTAAGCACAAATTTTCTGGATTTTATACTTATGAGCTTTTAAAAAAAATTCCTGTTATTCACGTTGGTGATTTATTTGAAATTTATAATTTAAATGTTATTATTATTACATTTATGAATTAAAAATGATTTGATCAACATGGATGAAAAGAAATTCATTATGTACACTAACATTCAAAAGTTTACTGTCCATATTTTTTTTTTTTTTAAAGAAAGGACACATTGAATTGACATTAAAGCTATTTATAGTTACAAAATATTTCTATTTTGAATAAATTATTTTCTTTGAACTTTTTATTCATCAAAGTATTCGGAAAAAAGTATAATTGTTTCCACAAAAACTTTAAACAGCGCTACTGTTTTAAATATCAATAATAAGAAGAAATGTTTCTCGAGCATGTGACACTGACGACTGGAATCTTTTGAGTTGTATATATATACACACTTTTTCAATTAATTATTATGATTATTGAAAAAATATTATTGTTATTATTAAAAACATTATGCTTTAATGTTACTTTATAGCTACTAATAAGTGAGTGTGTGTGTGTGTGTGTGTGTGTGTATATATATATATATAGCCATCATGTATGTATGATGTATGTAGCCATCATTTCAGAAGTGACAGAAATGTCAAATACAATAATTTTATGTATGTACGTTTTATTATGATTTTTTTGATTATTTTCTTATCTCTTACGTTGAATTTGCTATAAGAACTCAAATACACTGCTGGACAATAATCAATCATTTGTAATCTATAATTTTTTCCTAATGGCAATTTTATGATCGTTTTATTATACTACAAACAATTAGGCCTTTCAATTTTCTGCACAGAATAAGGTAAAAAAAATATACTTTATAGTTTCTGTACTATAATAAATTATATGTCAATTAGCACTGCATCGTTCATAAATTTTATTTATTTATTGTGTTTTTGTCTTAACGTTTCATTAGTTGATTCTGCTTTTTATATAGCTAAGCTGCAGATATAGTCTGGCACGTCTTCAGTTCTTTGAGCGCAAGATCACTTCTCTTTCAGTGTGAAAACTTCTGTATCTCATTTTCATAAAATAAAATGCTATAGTCATAGGCGGAGGGTGAACCAACTCCAGGGTAAGGCTAAAAGCAGCCAAATGTAGGCCTATTAAACATCATAAACCCGTCTTTTTAGGCAAGAACCAGACATGGGTGTCATGTAGGCTAAAAAAAAAAGTTTAATGGGACTGAATTTGTATTTAACGTGATTACAATTTCTAATAAAAATGTTAGAAATTGATAATTTGCCTATATACGGTTTCCTTTCCACGGTTATTCAAACAGCGAATAAATTATATATAGAAATGTATCACTAACATTGATCTATCGCGAGTTTAAACACGCTCAAAAAAACAAAACTATCGTTATAATCACTGAAGCTGTATACACTGTTAAATGAATCTCTTACTTATATTGCACATACATCTGCGCTTTGTTGTTTATGATGAGAGAATTCACAAGAGTCCAGAATTCAGTCAGCCAACGTGCACGCACTCAACAAAACTGATGAGTCTGAATGATGACTCATCTGAACGCTTCTGATTGGCCATTGCATTCCTAAGCTCAACAGATATGTGTGTGATTGGTTAAAATGCGCAACACTGTAAAAACGCCTAAAATGAAATACGTTGCAACATGAGCAGATCTTAATTTAATGGTGCAATCGACACTGTCTATTCATATTCACTTTGTTAGCAACAGACGTAATAGATTTAATTTGTTTGTGCAGGGGCATTTTTGTCCAATTTAGTGGCATTTTTGCCCCAAGTAGAGACCTGCACTCCCGCGGGACCCAACGCAACAGGGTGCGACGCGGGACAACTCTTGATGGGCGAGTGCTGGTGCGGGCGGGAAGAGACTCGTGTGTGTGCGGGATGCGGGAGAATAAAATTATTCGCGGGACTCCCGCAAAATAGAAATTATCTAAACATAAAGTGTCTAAAACATATACACTGTTATTTATCTGTTGCACAAAAGCAAAAAGAACAACTAATATTAACATTAAAATGATTGACATGCGCAAGCTAGGCATAGTTTCTATTTATAACACGTGTTTAAAGGGTTGCACAGTGTAGCCAATCACAGACTCAGCTGTTGATTTCTGGAACACAATGGCCAATCAGAGGTGATTAAGTTAGAATCTACTCACCACAGTGCTGAAATTGCGTGCTCACATATCCTTTTATTTTAACACACGAAGTTTAGACACTGTGAAAGATTCATTGTGTCGGGAATCTTGCGGGAGTGGGACTGAAAATTCCGTCCCGCGCAGGTCTCTAGGCTAAGCCTTCCCCAGCCTTACACATGCTCCACCTATGGCTATAGTATTTAACTTTTCCTGATTCTATCCTGATCTTTGATGATTCTGAAAGAAAACGCACCCGATGTCTGTTTGCTATAGCAACAAACGATACTTTCATGCATGATTATCAAATAAACCTCGCGCTCTTATTTCAAGGTTGTTGTTAATGCTGTGGTTATTTTAACAGTTTCCTTCGTACATTCGTTTGAACGACATTGTTTAAACACATTTATCATTCAATGGGACTGTGCGTATGCTTTAGACACTTACATTTTTGCTCCGTCCATGCAATAAATGCGCAGCCTTCGACTGCTCAGGTAATGTCGTTGTCATGACGAGAGCCATTGAAAAACTACAGAAAAGTAAAACTACTTCACTTTAGCATTACTGGCCACGAGTACTAAGGAGAGATCACACATCAGCTGCTCAAAAAATGTGTCAGTGAGACGAACGGAGCGCGAGCGCAATCTTGTGACAGTCGCAGGCGGTAAATAGTGCAGCGCGTGAAGGAGAGATGCGAGGGCACGTACACTGTTCAAGGTTTCCATTAATTCGTGCTTGTAGTAATTTAATTTGTATACTGTATATATTTTGAAAGCATTGAATCGCTATAGAAATTCGATTCTTAGCGTTTCAAATCGATTACTGTCCAAAATCGGCGATTCACGATTCAAAATTCGTTGCATCGTTTCAAGATCGATGCATATGCACCGTCAGGGTTTGTAATCGATGCATCGAGAAAACAAGTGAATCGTTACACCCCTAATATATATATATACATACACACACTGTATATATACACACACACACACTTAATCATTTTTAATAAATGATTATATAATATTTATAATATTTAATCATTTATAATTATATAATATAATATTTTAGCATTACAGTATGACACATGAGTTGGTGGGGGTTGCTTAAGTGTCATTAAAATGTCACAATTTAAAAATATATATAAATAATAATCTTACAGATATTTCTCATTTCTTTCTTTTAATTTTGGACTGAAATGTGACCTAAACATGTTTATGTTGGCGTGACAATCTCCCCATTTTCCCCATTACCCTTTTTCAGCATTTCTCATGTCCCGTAGTTCTCATCTGTCTCTAGTGCTGTACCTGACCGCGCTCTCTGTCTTTTTGTCTCTTTCAGAGAGAAAATGGCAGTGTGGATCCAGGCCCAGCAGCTGCAGGGAGATGCTCTACACCAGATGCAGTCTCTCTACGGGCAACACTTCCCCATAGAGGTGCGACACTACCTGTCCCAGTGGATAGAGGGACAACTCTGGTATGTGAAGAGTCTGACCTGTCACTTTGTTATTTTTTTTCCATATATCAGTGTTATTAGGTGTGTCCTTGTATCCTCTTTCAGGGATGCAATAGATTTAGAGAACCCACAGGAGGAGATTAAAGCCAAGCGTTTATTGGACAGCCTGATCCAGGAACTACAGAAGAAAGCAGAGCATCAAGTGGGAGAGGACGGCTTCTTACTCAAGATTAAATTAGGACATTATGCGTCACAGCTAAAGGTTCTGCTTGTTCTTTGTCTTTGCATACAATTCAGGAACGTTTTAGTAAAAAAAGTTTTAAAAAATAAAGCAGTTTTAATGCATCCAAATGCTTATGCGTAAATGAACTCCGTGAAATAGACTCACGTAGATTCTCTTAAAATATCTCAGTTTATAAAATAAAATGAGAGAATATAGATCAAGCTTAATGAGACAGTTATTAACATACAGCATATCGGTGCATGATGATAAGATGCTATTACTAAGAACCGGTCGATCAGGAAAGTGCAGTCTCAGTGTTTACTGTCATTAGTGTTGTGGGGTGTAATTGAGTGTGTTGAAGTAAAACATAGAGTCGATGTTTATTCTGATTGTGTGTGTGTTTTCAGAGCACGTATGACCGCTGTCCCCTGGAGCTGGTGAGATGCATCAAACACATCCTGTACACAGAGCAAAGACTCGTCAGAGAGGCGACTAATGTGAGTGGACACAGAGTAGGCAGATCTATTTCAGACTGTCGGTTCATTAGGGCAGTTTATGTGAAATAACAGTTAATTTTGAATTAATTTCATGTCATCTTCCTTTTTTGTAATGAAGCACAATTCTAGGTAAACACTGCTTTTTATTACTTTTCAAATGGAGTATATGCAGGGTTCTCACAGTCATGGAAAACCTGGAAATATTAGAGAATTTTAAAGTTGTGAATTCTAGCCCTGGAGAAGTCAAATGAATAATTTAAATACACATAAGGTATACACACATATGACCATTCAAAAAGTTGGGGTCGGCAAGATTTTTAATGTTTTTGAAAGAAGTCTCTAATGCTCATCAAAGCTGCATTTATTTGATCCAAAAATACAGTACAAACAGTAATATTGTGAAATATTAGTACAGTTTAAAATAACATTTTAAAATAATAATTTGATTTATTTTAATATAAAATGCATTTCTGTGATGGCAAAACTGAATTCTCAGCAGTCGTCGGTGTCACGTGGTCCTTCAGAAATCATTCTAATATACTGATTTGATGCTTAAGAAACATTTCTTACTATTATTAAAATAGCTGTGCTGTTTAATTTTTTCGGATTCTTTGATGAATAGAAAATTCAAAAGCATTTATTTTGAAACTGATTTTTTTGGTAATAGTGTATTTTTACTGTGATTTTTGGTCAATTTATTGTATCCCTGTTGAATAAAACAATTAATTTCTTATAAATAAAAAAATCTTACTGACCCCACACTTTTGAACTGTAGTCTATATATTGCATTTTTGTTATACTAATAAGTGTAATAGTTAAATAATAATTAGTAACAAATTTGTTCATTCCTAAAATTATTATCTGATATTGATATTAAAAACTCCCCCGAGATATCTGTAAAATCATCTCATAAATGGATTTTTTCCCCCACAAAATTTAATTGGTCAAAATGTGTGGAAATATTTCACAGACCTTATAATTTAACTCCCAGGGTACTCTCTGCATTTAAAGCTACAGTCCGTAACTTTTTTTGGTTAAAAATGATTCTAAGGAAAAATAACTTTTTGGGTTAAAAGAATTTCAATATATGAAATTTGAATGACTGTACAGAAATTGAAATCTACACACACACTATACTCATAGTCAATCAATGCTGATGTTGTTAACATTAATAATTTGAGAATAAAGTTTAACAATAAAATAATTTTGCATGGTTTGATGTGATATGAGCTAATCGATCGTTAGATTTAATCACCATTGGTAGCGCGATTTATTGTAATGCTTTTTTCCTCAGTTGGTCAGAACAAACGTGGCAGACTTGTTACTTACTTGTTCTAATGACAATATCCAGTGAAAATTCTTGTTTGGTTCATATATTCCAAGACGTAGGCGAGAATCTGTGATTCTGAAGTACAGTAAATATCCACACACCGGTGCGGTGACTGACTGCCACACATACTCCTCAAAACATTAGATTCATCCGCGCTGGAGCCGCACCGGCGCACAACCCACACAATGAAAATAATTCCGCAAGTAACTGCAATTGCAAGTTTCAAACAGAGATGGCGGCAAAGAGGCAAAACTTACGGACTGCAGCTTTAAGTGATTTATTAACACTTAGTGATTATGTTGTCTTCTTGGTTTAAATGATGATCATTGTATACATAAGTTCAGCGAGTTCAGTGACTTCATTCAAATTTAAAAACCATCATGGGTAATAAACAGGACTACTGTACATGACTGACTTTTACCATCTTCAGAAATAAAGTTTGTGTGTTTGCTTTGTGCATGCATAGAGGAAGATAAATATTTACCCCATACACAAATTCATGATACCTGCTCAGTTTTATGAGAGTAAAAGAGGAAATTTCAGATTTTATCAGCTCAACTGACAACTCATAAAACTAAAGACGATATCAGTAAATCTAGAAGCTTACATACATGTGAAAATGCCCACTCATCTCAGACACACCTGTACTTAAAGACATAATATTTATGTTCACATACCATGTATGCACTAAACAAACATATAGTTTGTTTAAACAAACATACAGTACACGTGTTATAGACGAATAACCTTATCTGGGTCGATTATTAATACACAACAGGACAGGGGTGATTAGAACCTACATTACATATTGAAGCTTTGGTTAGTTGGATTTTAGTAGTACAACTGTATGTCGTTAACCCTTCTTCATCTTGCTAGTTTATCAAAACTAGAAAGTCTGAATGAAGCTATATCATATTTCCTTGCATTTTTCTGAAATATTCTGATCGTAAATTTTAGTGAAACTGAATGTTGAACCGTAAACAGCAACTTGGTTGTTACTCATGTGTGTCTGTGATTTGCAGTCAAGCTCACCAGTGGGCAGCCTGATGGACAGCATGTCACAGAAGTACCATCAGATAAACCAGGCATTCGAGGAGCTCAGAATATTGACTCAGGACACAGAGAATGACCTCAGAAAACTACAGCACAACCAGGAGTACTTCATTATACAGTACCAGGAGAGCCTCAGAATACAGGGTATACAGCCACACTCATTTACATCTATATACTTGACAGACACTTTTATTCAAAGCAACCTACCTTGCATTCAAGATATACATTCCATCAGTTCATGCACTTCATGGGAATCTAACTTTGACCCACACACACACCAGCGGACAGTCGTATGTATGCATATGCAATCAGATACACAGTCTATTTTATCATTCAGTACATACTATAGCAAAAATGCCCTCATTAAAACAGCCTGTAGGCTCACATAATTCCTGAGAATTCCACTGAATAACAATTCAAACCAGTTTTAAAGGGATAGTTCACCCAAAACTGAAAATTCACAAAGTTTCTGGGGACTAACAGTGCTTTGGTTACCCACATTCAAGAGAAGCTAAACAGAAGAAAGAATTTCATACAGGTTTGGAACAACTTGAGGGTGAGTAAATGGTGACAGCATTTTCATTTTTGGTGAACTTTTCCTTTAAGCCTGAATATAAATCTCTTGGTGTAATCATTTATAAATCAACGTTATTTGTAAAGATAATTGCAATAAAAAAGAATTGAAAATACATCAGCACAGGAAAGAAAACTACATTTGTCACAAAGGAATGGCTCATACCCAGATGGCTCTTTTACGTGCAAAATTATGGGATTTTTTTATTTTATTTTGTCAGCAAAGCTCGTCTTCGTGGACTAAATCCTCCTCTCTGTTGTGTGCAGCTCAGTTATCAAGTCTGGCCACGCTGCCTCCAGCAGACCGACAGCTACGAGAGCCCAGCCTGCTCAGCAAGAGAGCCACAGTAGAGGCCTGGCTGACCCGAGAGGCCAACACCCTGCAGAAATACAGACTGGTACACACACACACACATGCTCCAAGTGAATAGTGTGCATAGCATTAGCATAATACAACACTCTGTACTGTAACATTAGTAACACATGCTTTAAAGAGGCATATCGTAAACATTGTAGCGTCATAAACTACTGCTCAAAAGTTTGTGGGTTTGCTATGTTTTTTTTTTTTTTAAGAAATGAATACTTTTAATCAGCAAGGATACATTTAAGTGACCGAGAAGACATTAATAATTTTACAAAAATTTTTTTATTTCAAATAGATGCTTTTTACAGTTTCAAAATATTAGGCAGCACAATTGTTTTCAAGATTGATAATAATAAGAAATGTTTCTTGAGCAGCAAATCAGCATATTTGAATGATTTCTGAAGGATCATGTGACACTGAAGACTGAAGTAAAGATGCTGTAATTTGCTTTGCCATCACAGGAATAAATTACATTTGAAAACATATTACAATAGAAAACACTGGTAACACTTTATTTAATTAATATTACTCAGTACTTAAATGTATAATTACACTGTAACAAGGACACCTTAAAATAAAGTGTAACCAAAACACTTAATTTAAATTGTAATAATATTAATTCAAATATTACTGTTTTTACTCTTTCTTAGTTTCTTACTCTTAATTTAGTTACACATTAACACATTTTTAACCTTTTTTTCTGGCAGTTTTTGCTACTGTCCATCTATATGTAATTTACCGACATTTAGAGTCAGCATGAAAATTCATGTTGATGCTCTTATTGTGAACGATTTATCCCTGCATATGTTTCATTTCTCTTGACCTCATAACTTCAAATCAAAATGTCATAACTTAATCTTCCGGTAAAATGACCTTTCCAATCATTACGCCCACTTAAAACACTCCCCTTGCTGCAAACTCACATTCAGATCTGCCTTCATTTACTCAGCGACCAATAAATAGAACCATCGATAATCAATTTCACTTGGGTCTATGTCACAATATGAAAATGCACAATACAGAAAAATGTTTATCGCTACATCGGTTTCATCACGAATTTAAGGCATCTATATGTAAATTTCCTCTGTTTTGACTGGCTAACCTTTTTTAAGGTAAAATGAGGAACACTTCCATTTCAAAATATCCTCCATTATTTTCCATTATATGTCTCCTTTAAAATGAAAGCAACACTTCCATATGATGTTGCCCATATGAAGAGTTCAGATGCAAACGCCTCTTAAGTGCCATCTGAAATTCTTCTAAAATTAGCATTTTTATCAGGCTCCTATGTGTAGGTTCAGTAATTTCACTTTAATGGCAATGAATAGGTTATTTTCATTGCCATTAAAGTGAAATAACTGAACATAAACATTGTAGCCTGAGAAGAATGCTCATTTTAGAAGAATTTCAGATGGCACTTAGAGGCTTTTGCATCTGAACTCTTCATATGTTTTCAAGTACAGCAGTAAACCTGATGGTCATTGTTATTTACATGAGTACAGCACATATGTTCACATCTGTTCATGTGGTGTTATATTAACTTGTGTATGTGTGGTCAGGGATTGGCAGAGAAACACCAGAAGACACTGGCATTGCTACGTAAACAGCAGACGGTGATTCTTGACGATGAGCTGATTCAGTGGAAGAGACGTCAACAGCTGGCTGGCAATGGCGGGCCGCCCGAGGGAGGACTGGACATACTACAGTCATGGTGCCCACACATGCATACTTAGCAGTCTAATTTAGGACATACCATAGACCTCTTTTGTTTTTAAAGCTAAAGATAATTTTAATGACTACAGATTAAGCCAAACCCTTATGTACAGTTATTTTATTTTATTTTATTTTACATTTATTTTATTTTATATATTGTTTTATTTTATTTTATTTTATTTTGCTATCTTCTGGGGCAGATTTGTCCCAGTGCATGGCTAAATAAAGCAATACACACACTAAGACAGTTATGCAAATAATCACAGGCATGCGTATGTTGTGGTTTTGCACAAAACATTTGTGTTTACATTACACGCACACAACATATGCAGAGAGCAGCTCTGTAGTTTATGCTTGGGTTTGGCATTTATGCGTGTGTTTGTGCACAGGTGTGAGAAGCTAGCAGAAACCATTTGGCAGAATCGTCAGCAGATCCGGAGGGCGGAGCATCTGAGACAGCAGCTGCCCATTCCCGGCCCCATCGAAGAGCTGCTGACCGAACTCAACAGCACCATCACGGACATCATCTCAGCTCTAGTCACCAGGTGTGTGTTTGTGTGTGAAAGAGAGAATAGCAGTGACGTTAAGTGATTGCAAAGTGCAGCAGTAACACAACCAATATCCCCCCTGTAATCAACATCGTGCAATTTTACTAAATCTCTTTCTTGGCTTTGCTACAATTTCAGCAGTGACTTCACAGTGTATTTGAATTAATCATATTAGTTGCCATGGTGACTTGTAACCATACATTCAAAGACATACATTTTCTTCCTTCCTGTGCTCTTTATGTGTGTGTATTTTTTCACTCAGTATTGAGCCTACAAGTCTAAGTGGTTATAGGTTTTAAGGAGGTTTTACATTTTGGGCATAAAGGAAGGGGTAATTAGTGAATAATCAAGAAATCATTTTTAAAGGGATAGTTCCAAGAAATACTCACACTCATGCCATTTCTTACATATAATACAAGAACAGGTTGATCACTTTTTCCATTAAGTTACAGTGAATGGGCTTTTAGGCTTCAAAAAGGGTGCAAAAGCCTCATGAATGTATCAAAGTGGTCCGTACAACTCGAGTTTTCTGAAGCCATGCAGTGCTTTGTGTGTGTAACAGAGAGAAAAATGAGTTATTATACACAGAAATGCTCTGCCTTAGTTCATAAGAGAAGTTTAATTAATATATCATTCAGTGATTTCAGTCGACTCATTCATTGAAAAAATCTGACTCAAAACACATAATTCATACATTAAATGGAGATTTCTACTTCTCTTATGAACAATCATGAATGCACATAGGAGAGCTGTTTTCAAAAGTCTTATGCTCACCTAGGCTGCATTTTTTTGCTCAAAATACAGTAAATACAGTAATATTGTGAAATAGTATTACAATTTAAAATAACTCTTTTTCTATTTGAATTAGGGCTGGTAAGCGATTAAAATTTTTTATCTAATTAATTTCTTGATGTGTCGATTAATTAATCAAATTAATCGCAAATTAATCGCACATCATATTTGGCTGAGAAATTACTCCCAAAAGTCATTGTTGTGTAAAGCATCAAACAGCCATTACAAAAAGTAGCTTCAGCAAGAAATATTTTGTTTGATTCAACATAAAATTTATTACATATACTTTTTTGGACCATGAGGGTGAGTAAATGATGATATAATTTTCATTTTTGGTTGGGTGAACTATACCTTTAATAATTTTTATTATTATGATTACTATGGAAATATTAAATTATTTCTTTAATGAAATGATACTCTAAATAATAAACTAAAACTGCCAGTAGGTGGTGGGAAATGTCTTAATGATTAAGTCATTGAGTCATTTATTCATTCATTTGATTCGTTCAAATGGCTGATTCATTCAGGAGTGAAGTAAATGGTTCTCTTTATGAATGGTCCATTGAATCATTAGGCTTGTTCAACTTGAAGCGGATCATCACCATCAGACCGATCGGTGT